CATCATCATCATAATGTCGTCAGTCCTAAGACGGGTTGAACACGCACCTCCACTTTTTCCTATACTGAGGTAATTTTCGCATTTCCTTAAAACTAGAACATCCCATTTCCCATATCCTTAATTATTTCTGTACCAGTACCTAATCTAATCTAGGTCTACTCCTCTTAGCTCCTGTCTTTTGTTTCTAATATATCTCTAACAAGCCTTTTATGCCCTCTCTTCTCCTATTCTTTCTAATATTTCCTCATTGCTAACCTTCTCTATCCACGGTGTCCTCATCATTCGCCTGTAACACTACATTTCTTATGTTTCACAAAACAAAAATATAACTGCTGAGTTTTTGAAAAACCTATTCATTAAATTTCTTAGGTAATGGAAAGATTTTAATTTGATATAAACATTACAAAATCTGTTTTTGAGTATAAATAAAATAGCATTGTTTTCAAATTAAAATTGTCGAATCATTTGAATAAGTAAGTGAGCATTAATGGTTTTACTAGACACATGTTGATTTTAAAAGATTCTAATCATAGTACGTTTCTTCGAAAGTATTAAAATATATATTTCATTTATGTTTATTTATACTTGGTTACAGTAAGAATTTCTTTGAAAATTGAAAAGATCAAAAAGAAATCACTGTCGTTTGTCAAAATTACGTCACGGCCGTATAAATGAACAACTGATATAATCAAAAGAATTTAAAATAAAAGGTCAAAAATCACTGATTTATTTCCTTCGCTTCCAATTAATAATGCTTTGCAAAATGTAATATTTACAAAGCCATTACGCAATGAACAGTTAACAAATTAATAAAATAAAAATTTTTGAGTCAAACTTCGCAGTTCCGCTCACGTATTTGTTTCTGTGTGGACGTAATAATCTAGACTGCGTTTGTGACAATGACAGAGTGAGTTCTGTTATTTTTAAGTATTTTTTTATATTAACAAGTGTACCTACTAAATTTATAATCCTTTCGTATCTCGTTGAAGATGTCCGAATAACTGACGAAACATATATCACGTTTTTCTGACGTAATTGTTTTTCGAATTCCAATTTCACGAAAACAGAATCGTATATGTCAAAACAAAGTAGAATAATCGCTCTATTTTGTAAATAATTACCTAATAGTGAAAGTTTATATTTACTAGTCTAGATTTGTCATATTTAGAATAATATCAAATATTCACCCCCTACACACCAAAAACTGTTTCAAAAGCTAACACGTGTTTCGTCATTTATTTATCGGCGCGAGTTTGTTCACGAATGCCAATCCAATATCCATGTGATTACTATCTCGTGTTGATAATACTTAACATTCAAAATAGTGAAGGACATGTCCATTTTCAAAAAAGTTTTTGTGAGTCTTTTCGTAATAAAATAGATAATGAAATGTAGAGTGCAAAAAGCTTTTTTTGTTTGACAATTAAGAACTATGTACTTGTGTATTCCCCCATGACTTGTCACATGGCTATTATTTACTTATCTGATTCAGATTTACAAACATTTGTAAAATTAATTTTAATTAATGCAGATATCAGAGTAATAATTTACATAGTTTGACAATCAATTTTAAACTTTCAAAGGTGCAATTCTTGTGAAACATTATGTCATGTTCAATAAAAGAACAAAATGTGTACTAATTTATTTTGTAGATTTTACTTGAATAAGTAACCGACTTTTTTTCAACTAAAGCATCACAAATAAACATTTCCTTAACAATACTTTCGCTACTCTTTAACTTTTTCAAGTGAATATTATATTGTACCACATAAGTCTACTGCTTATATTACATCAAGTATTACTCACATCTAATGGGGGTGGAACTTGTATTTGAACAAATTTAACAGTGGTGGATTGTTTAATATTTGATCAGTAACAAATCGGAATTATAACTTTTTTATTTTATTAATTAGTAGTGGTTTTAAAACATTTAATTTTGAATTTTTTTACTTAATTTGTTGGAAGTTATGAAAATTAAACTTCCTTTGTTTTTAAATAGATGATGGTGGGGTTGTAATTTATCTAGGTATATGTTATATGTCTGAAATAATTTTTATTTTTTCTTCGTATACAAGATAAACTAAACGAATTGCAAATTTATATTTATTGTCTATTTTATTACTGATTAAGTTATCTATTAAATCTGTAATTGTAACCATTTGTTTGACGAGGCAAAGTTCTATTTTATAATTATTACCAGATAAAGGAAGATTAGTTAGTCTAAGTTACTTTGTGTAACATAAGTGAATGAAAGCTGAAAGTTTATGTTAAATGAACTGTTTTACCTAGAGTGAATAGTTGCATCGGTAAGTGGACTTGACAAAAATATTAGATAATATTATTTCTTCTACGTGAAAGTAATACTTGGGTGTAATTCATAGATTATATTGTCGCCATACTTAAACCAACATTGAAAGTTATTTATAAAAAAGGGTTCTTGGTAATTGTGTTTTCTAAATTGTCCATAAAAATTTCAGCTAATAAATGCCACAGGGGATTATCTATAATTAAACCTTCTGTGTGATTGTAAATATTCTTATTGAATCCGAAATAGTTTTGTTCTAAACAAATTGTTAATGTGGATGTAATATCTCATATTTTCACTCTCAGTTTCTTGTCTAGAAGTACATTTTCAATAATTTTTATGAAATATATTCTTTACGTAATATAAAATATTTTTAATACCGTGCGATAGTTGAAATTTCGTCCAAAGCAAGTTTTATTGATGTAGTTTTCTTTTATCTATAGCAATAACTGAATATCCTTTATAAAAAATAAGATTATTTTCAATTGATGTTTTCAACCCCCCTCTCGCATACGGTACAGACCCCCCTCCCTTCACAGAGCTCCTAAATTGATAATATTTTCTACCATAAATGTTGTGTTTGCTAAAGGTTTTCAGAACACTAATACCTACCTATCTTGCTAAGTATCTTAAAACCTTGAGACATTTTTATAATTTTCAGCAGATAATATTCACATCCTTTATTTATGTATAAAATAGACCAAAATAGCAACTATTTATAAGTTTATTATTGGGTTAGACAAAATATACAATTATTCCATAATAATTATGATAGTTACGCACTAATTATAAGATGCTGTGTCTGTCTCATAAAATTAAATGATGTGTAAACTAATTATACTATTGATAGCTGGTTAAATTAATTAAAACAACCCATCGATAACCACTTTTAAAGTCTAATGTGACCTTGATTGAAACGTAATAATTGTATGAAATATAATGTGGTCAATTAATTACAAATGTAAGTGATTTGTGATGCTTTAAAATTGTTTATTTGCTACCAATAACTATTTATTATTAAAGCCAGTAAAATTTTCTCAAAATAAAATACATGGCCTGTTTGTAGGTCAATATTTCCATAAAGGCAGTGTCAAGGTGCAACAGGTCTGCAAAAAGTTTTTTCTTAATTTTCTTAAACGAAATGAGCCAATTGTGTACAAGGTAAAGTTAAGAGGTCAGGTGAACATTTAATGTAGGTACTTATAAGTACTACCGTTTTATACAGTTCTTAAAAATTTATAATTTATTCAACCTGATGTGTTTGGTTCGTAAAAAGTTAAAGCAAAGAATTGTGTTCATTCAACGTTAACAGGTAAATGTGAAAAATTGAGAAAAACGATTTGTTTTTCCTAGTTATATTATTACAGTAGAAAACACTATAAAGCCCATCAAAATTAAATTTATAAACATACTCAATTATTGCATTTGTTAATAATTTCAATTAGTTTACATTAAAACCCACTAAGCACTCTTTTGCAATGCTCGGTGTCGACCACTTTACGAACCACCCTTCACATTCTATCTCAAAGAATTGTACCCGATTTTCTTTTTATTATATCAACTTAACATTATCAAAAACTTGAAAAAAAAAATAATTACAGTCTTGCGTAAATAATAAAAATGTAAACACAGCTCTATTGTCATTATTCCTATCGAAATAATGACCCGTGCAAAGATATGTAATTATCATAAAAAATATTTTACGTCAGGACCACTGTTCCATTCTGTTTCAATATTTTTTTAACTCTTATTGTTTCTGCAACTCCAAATAATTAAATTAATTATCATTTTTCTATTTCTTTCATCAGACAAATACGTCTAATAAAGAATAGATAGTAATAAACTAGTAACATCAAGTATAGTCAAGTAACTAACCGCATGTAAAATACGTACGTCAATTATAAGCACTTTTGGACAATAATCTAATGCGCTACAAAAAATCTACACCTATATATACTTAAATTAAAAAATTGCCTAACAACAAAACAACCATGCGACTGTAATGATTTTTGAAGTTATCATTATCAAGTTGTTTTTGGATTTGTAGTGTTGTGGTTGACGGTAGGAATTACACATTTGCGTGAAGGTTTGTTTAATAATTATTATATATAGGTAGGTAATGATTTGGTAATTGATGGGAATGATCAAACTAAATGTCTTTAGTTAATTGCTATTTACGTATGCTATTAGACTTTGCCATATTAAAAATTTAATAAAATTACATCTACTGTTTTAATTATCAAATAATATTCTGTGACAATTTTTTTAACAAGAATTGTAATAAAAACGCCGTTTTGGTTCAAATAATTTCTCTAAACTAATCTTATTATAATACAGGAGGTTAAGTAAAGCATTAATTATGAATTGAAATGCTTGTTTCAGATTATGAATAAAATGTACAAAATTGTCACCCTCTTAGTTATATTATGTATTACACAATCGTCATCTTCCATTTATCCAGAAATTGAAACAAGGAGTGGCTGGGTAAGAGGAATAACATTAAGAAATACCTTTGGAACCACATACCATGCATTTAAGGGAATTCCCTATGCAGAAGCTCCTGTTGGAGAATTAAGATTTAAGGTAATATAACAATAGGATGTGTTAAAGAAAAAAATTATTACCCTCATTACATCGTATACCACTAACATGAAATTTTACCAAGTCAAACTCTCTCGAAATGTAGGCCATCATGGTATACGTCACGGGTAAAAACCATTCACATTAAATCGAGTTCCTGAACAGTAATTTTAGCATTGTCCTTTTCAAGGCTCCAAAACCCATTTCCAGATGGGAAGAAACTCTTAATGCAACGCAAGACAAACCACCATGTATTCAAAAAAATACTTTATTTATTAATCATTCAGTGGAAGGAGAGGAAGACTGCTTATATTTAAATGTATACACAACATCGGTAGGCTACAGATTTTTTTAATGCACTTTACATTAATTTCAACGCAAAATTTTGCTACTTACCCAACAGATTCCCCGACATGATGAAACGCAAGGAAATGCGGTATTGGTTTATATTCATTATGGGGGATTCTTTGCTGGATCAGGTGATAGTTCTTATCATGGGCCAGAATATTTTATGAACGAAAATGTAACACTTGTTACGTTTAACTATAGACTGGGAGTTTTTGGTGAGATATTAATAAAAATTTTTATACTATGCATAACTGGCAAGGGGTCTTTGCTTTGCTTATTTTTGATGGGTTTAAATGGTGATTATGTCAACAATATTTATTTACATATCTACTTTTTCTGATTTTGACGTGACAACGTCTTATAATTCGATGGAGTCTCTCTCCTACTTGAGTGAGCGATGCGTCCGTGTGGACAGCTGCTATACAATAATACATTTCCATTTACCTCCTTCTCTATATCCATACAAAATATCGTTCAAACAAATAAAATTAAAATTTTCGTTTGAAAAATGAAACCATTGCATCAGTATTTTCTTATGACGTTGTCACGTTCAACTATCGTCAGTAAACCGACTATACAGACAACCGATTTTTTTATTCAAAATTTAGCAACCCGATTTGTGTATTTTTGAAAACGAAAAGCCAAACCGAAGTAGACCAATTAAATTCATTATAGTCTATAAATTCCTTATTTCTAAACGTATACATATCAATAAAGAAATCGTAACAGATTTTAAAAAAATATATACGAATGTTTACGGAAGCATACGAAGTGTAAAAACTTTGCTTACTTTTGATGAAAATGAGAGGGAGGTTAAGAATTAGCAAAATTGTGCTTATGAAATAGCTGAATTGCCCCTTAGGTGCATTACTACTGATGCTGAAATCATTCTGAATCAGATTTTAGCCTATTTAGGAAAGTACGAACATTTTCTCTGCAATAATATCAGTGACTTCTGACGGTCAGTTGTACCACTGGCGTGGCCAAGAACGCAGCCCCCTCTTGCTAAAATTTCAGTGTGGCCCCCCTTAATTATTTCGTCAATATAATTGTTTTTTATTAAACGGTTTCAATGGTCTTAAAGAGGCTTTAATTTTCTGTTTTAAGAGAGACATTAAATTTTAAAGATTCCTTAATTGGGGGGGGGGGNTAGTAGAAACTTTAATTCGTGTTGACTTTAATCTTAATCATACATACTCGAATGCAATATTTTGAATTATGGGGAAGATTAAGAAAAGTTGTCAGCATTTCTTAAAAAAATGTGTGGTGTGGAGTCAAACGATGATTGACAAAATTTTTCAAGACCATTCAGTTTTCCCAAGTGCGCGCCACTGTTATAGAAACAAATTTAAAAAAAAATATGTGAAAGCATCACAAATCACGTAAAGTAAGGAAATCTGGTCGCAGGAGGCGAGGCGTATATAGCGAACATTTTTCTCGACACGTGTGGAAAATGAGTCGGAAAACAGATATTTATGTTGTTGTTTGTGCGAGACTTTTATTTGTCAACTAAAATGGACCGCAAACCTAAAAACCTACTCTCATTGCGCATAACGTAACCGATAACATTTGTATATGACAATGATAATTTTACAGGAATATTGCATTGTGTAACATAAGGCCGCGTTGTTTGTCAACTTCTACTAATGCACTCATTGTTATTAGGAGTTATTGTTGTATGGATATAATCAATACAAAAGAAAAATCGGTAAACTGTAATTCTTCGATAGATACTGTATCCTTGTAAAATAAAAATTTGTGTTAAAAACATATATAAACATCGCAAGATGTGTCAGTTGCCACCAGTTTCCCGTTAAAGCGCACGACATTTTCCTCGGGTAAGTTATTGTTTTATAATTAGTAGGTGTAGTCGTATTGCATGCTATTTAAGATAACGTCGTTTTATTCAGTTTTTATTACGGTAACTGATTTATTCATTAGAGTGTCAACGGCCTCAAATAATTTTTTAATAATAATCAAAGTTTTACGTGCTGATTACACTCATCGACTAATGTGAAAGTGACATTGAAAGTTCTAACATCTATTTAAATCATTGCCAATTTGTTTGATTTATGACAATTTTGTTTCGATTACCAAATGGGCAAAAATTCCTTAAGTTAGATTATATTTGGGGTAGATACCAAAATAAGTTTGTTTAAGAAGATGTTTGATTTTCAACTGTGGAGGGCGCAACAATATCTTGAAAAGGATGATAATATTGAAGTTGATAGTCGATTAATAAATTTTACTGTTTTAGACTAGACTAATTAATTTGGCGTGGCCCTTGGGAAGGTCCTTATTTCAACAATTTTCGAATTTTTATGCCCTCAGACTCATAGGTTTCGAAGCAGTTAAAATAAATTTAAGTCTGTCTAAATATAAATCAATGGCGACTTACAATGTAAATTGTCTATTTGGATAATATGGAATTTTCAGCATTAAATAATAATCATCGTCATAAGGTCGTCAGTCCTAAGACTGGTTGGACACGTACCTCCACTCTTTCCCATCCTGAGCTAAACTTCGCGCTTCTTTAAAACTAGAACAGCCCACATCCTTAACTATTTGCGAACAGTAATCTAATCTAGCTCTACCTCTACCCCTCCTAACTCCTGTTTCTGCCTCTAATATGTCTCTGACTAGACATTCATGCCTGAGAAGTTGTCCTACCAACCTATCTCGTATATATTTTATTGATTTCCATAGAGTCCTCAGTTCTCCTATTCTTTCTAATACCTCCTCATTTCTAACCATTTCGACCCACGTTATCCTCATCATCCGCCTATAACAGGACATTTCGAACGCTTCTAACCTTTTCTTTTCCACCACGCTCACTGTCCATGTTTCGCACCCGTACAACGTCGTGCTCCAAACATACACCTTTAGCAACCTTTTTCGAATTTCTAAGTTAACCGTTCGCGAGCATAAAAGTGACTTCTTTTTATTAAAGGCGACACGACCCTGCGCTATCCTCTGCATTAAATAATAAATAATCAATATTTATTCCGGCTGAAGTGATTGTTCAAAAAATTTAACTTTTAACATGGCAGACGTTAAATTTATGCTACAGTTTTTTAGCTAGATAAAAAAAATCATCAATTTCTTCTCAAAATTCGTTAAAAATAATATTGAATTATTTTTTATTAACCATGACGTTACATTTTCCATATCGAGGAAATAACCACTTTTCTTCGTTATCATATTCAGCTCAGTATTCCTTAATCAGTATTAAGGGCGACAAGTTATCATTATATCCGAAATAACTAAACTGCCAATATGTAATCTAATCTAGTCGAATAATCTAGATAATTCTCAAAACTTACAGACTAATGCACAAACTTCAAACTAACTGAACTAAAGGTGTTGAAGCTGAATTCTCTCTAAACAGGAAATATACTGGTCGCTCCAGGCTGTTGGTTGTGCAAACGAGTCTCGTTCAACAAAAAAAATATTAAATAACAAAACTGAATGAAATTTCCTGTATCTAGCTAACACCGTAAGATCGTAATAGCTAAAAATCTGAGAAAATTCTAAGGCATAACTATCATAAGGTTAACGTCTAACCAGTTTTAATTTTTTTTAACAATCGCTTCTGTCGGAATGAATAATAATTGATTATTTAATTCCGAAAATTCAATGTTGTTCAGTTAGAAAATGAACACTGCATGTCGGCTTGAATTATATTAAGATAGAGACTTAAGGAATATTTTTTTAACCACATAAATATTCGAAAATAGTCAAAATAAGGTCACCCTTGTGGTCATCAAAACAATTATAGGAATGTGAAAACCACAAAAGATAAATTGTGATTCCAAATTGTTCGAATTTTACTTTGCTAATTGAGCTACAGCTTCTGCATCCGCAAGTGTCAATGTAATTCTCGCCTTTTCTTCAGATAGTAAGCAAATTTTTCACATCATCATCATAATGTCGTCAGTCCTAAGACGGGTTGAACACGCACCTCCACTTTTTCCTATACTGAGGTAATTTTCGCATTTCCTTAAAACTAGAACATCCCATTTCCCATATCCTTAATTATTTCTGTACCAGTACCTAATCTAATCTAGGTCTACTCCTCTTA